CACCCACACGCACACACCCACACCCACACCCACACCCTTGTTTCCATCGCTGGGCGTAAATCATCCTTATCATCTTGTAAAAAAGCCATTTGCATTTGAATACATGCATCATTCCATGTTATCAATTCTGGCCATTGATGAAGACTTAAATAACAACCATAAATCTAATCAACAAAAAAAATATTATTTTATCTTCCATGATTTTTTTTTCCGTTAAAAATTTGACGAGTGCAGCAGATATGCTCTCTCCATTGGTATCATTAGTTAAAGAAAGATTTTTAAAATGTTCATTTAGTAATAATTTCTATTCATAATCTGGTTGTTCGAGATTTCCTGCTGCTTCATGTTCATAAGCATGTATTCATGACCAATCAAGTTGATGAATATTTTTTAACCATATATATATGAGGTATGTTCAGATTTTCAAAAAAGGAAATTACAGAAATTTCCGAAGCTTCCATCAACTCGATAACTACATAGCAGAGCACATGAAAATCTTTTGGAAATATTAGAAATTTCGGAAATTTCGCTACGTATAGAATTTTGAAAATTTCAAAAATTTCGGAAATTATATAATTTTGGGAAATACCAAACAATTTAAAACACAAGTGCTTGAAATTTCCGAAACTTCCAAAATTTCCTTTTTCGGAAGTCTGACCACTGCTGTTTGACAGAGGAGATCAAAAAATTTTTCAAGCATAATACACATGTTGAAATGTCAGAACTCTTGATATCAATTCTTGAAGATGAAGAAAATGGTCGGTTGATATTTTCCCCGAATAAAACTAGTTCTCGTGCTTTTCGATAGTCAATAAATGTGGCCGGATAAAACTTCGTTACTCATCATTGATATTGTAACAAACTATCAGTGCAATTTTTTCTTGATGATCTCAGGATAATTAACTTGGTATGTTCCACTTCATCCGATTTCACAGAAAGAACGATGGAATGCAAGCAGTTTGTAGGCTTCTTTATCATCAGATCTGACATATTTTTATAGTACTATGACAAAACGACAGGATAATTAAAAAAAAATCAAAATAATAAGGAAAAAAAACGTTGTCTGATTTTTTTCTAGAAATTATGAACGCTTGCTTTTTTCTATTGAAGTTAAAGATAATATTTATGAATCTGTATGAGAGAAAAAAATTAGCTAAGACTTCTTAAGTAATGAATCTATGCGCATTTCTTAAGTAGACATTACTTGGGTATAATCTATAGATTTACCCCTGCTTGACCTAGTGCACAAACATGCATTAGATATTGATTACAATTTCGCACAGCAGATTCATATTGACCACAACGTACGGCTGTTAAAATAATTGGAATACAAATACGATTAACCCATTCCAGACATGTAAATTTATTTGTAATAAAAAAGAATTTTACCGTCTAAAAAAAAGATCATATTAGAAAATTGAAAACAAAACCTTAATCTTACTTTAGGCAATTGTGGAAGTGAAAGAGTGGCACCTTTATACATACATTTTTTAAGTGCTTCAATTAATTGTAATAGACGATCCCATCGATATAAATCACACCACCAATCACCTTTATCAGTTGGAAGATTAACTTCACTTGATGATGATGATGTAACCGGAAGATTTGTAGTCGATGATGGAGTTGAAGAACGATTTGTTTGTTCAGACGAAGATGACTCGACTGTCTTGGTATTATTAACAATTAGCCAAGCAAAAAATTGTAAAGTTTCTAAACCGCCAGTAATAAAAAATTGTATGAGACTAATCCGTTAAATTCAAGAATGACTTTTTACCTTCAAGTACTAAAAATGTTTCTTGAGGTTTTCCAAGTGGTATTTTCAATTTGTTCATTACACAAAATTCTGCACATTCCCATATAGCCTAAAAGCAAATCTTAAATTGCAAGAAGAAAAAAGGAATATTTCCCATCTAAACTTATTCAAATAAATCCAAGCAATGCATCATTTCCAAAATTTGGTAATTGTTCATAACTTAATAATCGATGTTGAGATTCCAATAATTGTTCTTCTTTAGAAGATTCATTATTACTTTTACGTTGACAAGATTGAAATAAACATTCAAGCAATGTAGTTAAATACATTCGTCTAATAAATATAATCTTTCAAATGAAAAAAATCCAATCAAGGAAGACATACAGCGTTTGATGATTAACAAGTATATTAAATAAAAAACAATATCTTGTAAATCTTCCTAAGTATGAAGTATTCATATGATTTCGTTTAACAATAGAATAATCTTTTTTTGATGATAAGAATGTTCCATGTCTTGAAAATTTATTACAAAAAAATCTTTTTATTAATTTCTTAATTTGAATTTTGACTGTTAAGATATTGACAGGTAAACAACATAAAATAGTATAAATGGATGTTTCATTTGATTGTAACCAATATCGACATAAATTAAATAAACTAAAATCGATTGTTTGATATATGTGAAAAGAATTTAATCGAAAAATCTTCCCAGACTAAGAATGATACATCAAGATCACGTTGTCTTTTAACAATTTTGTTTAGTAAATGACAACATAAGTTACAGATTTGTTCTTCATCCGAATAAGCTAAAGAATTATTTCCTTACAATGAAAAGAAAAAAAATTTTTTAGTTCAAACGAGGAACAGAATGCGACAGTTCTGGAATGAAAATAGGACACACGAGGAGATTGTTGCAATAAACTAAAATTTTGTAGTCTGTGAGTTCACCTGAATAGTATCGAGACAGACGTTCTACTCATAAAAATATACAGGTTAAAAACGAAATTATTTGAGAAAACTGTCAGTGCAATCCCCATGGAATTAAACGGTGAAACACGATGGAACTGCGTAGATCGTAAATGAGATAAGTTACTAGTATATACTTCGCGAGTTAATTGTTAATCATAACATGTTAGTTTAAACTCAGTCGTGTCTGTAATAGATTTCAGTTTCTTGAGTACATGTGTCATTTATATGTCCACCATGATCTGTGAAGCGGAGAGAGGAAGTCTAAATATCTGTTCTCATACTTCAATATTCCTTTAAAATCGTATTTCACAAGATGCTCTTCATCTATGCACTCAATAGAGTCATTGTGTACAAAGTTTTTGGTTCCGAACTCGGATTTGAGTTGTAAACTGGATATTAGAGTCCTGCGGAACAAAGTTTCTTCTTATCCCGAATGTCGTTTTCCTGTGACGAAAGACCTTCTTAACAGGTCATTCTTTTTTTTTACAGTAGCATCTAAGAAGTTAAATCCGGAAAAGAGATGCACTCGACGACAACTACTTTTGGACCAAAGAAAAATTTGAATATCTTGATTGCACTTCGATCTAATACGCTGAATTTTTTGCGAGAATCAAGCACGGTAAATGAACAATCCATTCATACTCATGTCCTCTTAATAATTTTTATTTCAAAACTGATTTTTTTCTTTTCACTTATATCAATAATCGCATGAGATAATATCAATAAAATAAGTTATGTAAGTAATATCCATTATCTTCTTGTGGTAATGCATCAATAATTTGTGCAAGTCAATTCAAAACTAACTTTCTCGATAAAACAAAAATCACAAACTATCTATTTTATTAAATTTCCTTACTTTGTATCATGACAACTTAAATAACTATTAACAATAAGACGATGAAGAAGTTTAAGTAAATCTTCAAAATTATCTTTGGTTAAACTTGTTAAACTCATCACATTATTTGTATCATTTTGTTTAAATAAATCTGAATTATGAATAAAATGTTCATATCTAAAAATAATCTTATTCAATAAAAAAAAAACTTCCTTTTTAAAGAAATAACTAACGCTGCACAATGAGAATAAAGTGTTTTCAATATACCATAATGAATAGCTGAATATTGTCGAGCTAATTTCGAATTTGTTAACTGAAGATGTTTAGCAAGTAATTGAAATAATGGTGGTGAAAGTGCATACATCTACAGAAAATAAACTATATTTCCTTATCAAATCTTGTTTAATAACATACTCCAATGAAATTTCCCTTCACATTTCCGATTTGACACAATGCACTGCAATCAAAAATCAATGCTACTTCTGCATTATCTTCATTTAAATCACTCGTGGTTGGAGATGATAATGTTCCACTACCAACAACAATTGCTTTCTGTTGAAGTGCTTGTAAAAGTACATTAAAATTCGTTGTCATATCAGCTAAAATAGCTTGATAAACTTGTTGAACAACTGGAATACTTTTGATTGTTAAAAGACGATTAAAAAGATGTTTTACATCTTGAATATGCTAAAAGAAAATTTTGTTTTCTAATCTTACAGAATTCGAATATAAAAATCGCTAAAGGCATATTCGAGAATTGGCTGCAAATATTAAACTTGCTAATATTGCACATCAATCATGATCAGCTAAATCAATAATTTTTTAAATTAAACGAAGTAAATTAGCATCGACTTCATATGACCAATCTTGTCTATGAAGAATGGTTTGTTGAATAACAAAATCAAATATATCTTTTTCAAGTTGTTCATCAAATTGTGCAAACGTTTCTAATAGAATACAAACAGCTATATTGGCATGTTTAGCTAGAATACTAAAGGATTTATCTTGTTTAATTATGGCTGTTGTATGTAAAATTTTTTGTAACCAATTATCAACATATTCAATTGGAAGTAAAGTTGGTGTTCAAGCAAAATCATCGGAAAGTACACGAAGAACAGTAGCAAAAGCTTTGAAATATAATATCTTCGGTTAGTTGAGTAGATGTGCTGCACTAGATATCTAATCATCGGAGTCAATTATTATAGCGGTAATCTGTATAACTCTTGAGTTTAATAGTCAAACACGAAACTAATTTCGAGCACTTATATTAATAATTTTTTGAAAATTATCATAGATGAGTAGTCATATCCTTTCTAAGACTGAGATATTAGAATAAGTATATCGGATAGAATAGAAGAATTGCATTTTGAGAAAGGATGATAGAGAAGATACAAAAGATGATCCTGTCGTCTTTTGAGTTTCCCCCGACCATCAGGCATAATTTTAAAATTTGATCACATGAGCTAAAAATTTCAGGGCTTATAGAGTAGACATTGAGCTACAGCATGGTAAAATTGAAATTGAAAATGTATCTAATTAAAGAAAGCAAACAACAGTTTTCCAGAAGCTTCCTGAAACTCTCTAGAGAATTGTTCAAGTATTTTGATTTTCAGTTAGATCTGTATTTCTACTCATCTTCTTTCTAATGGTGAAAACTCGAGCTCGATAACTATCAGCATTTGTCGAGTTATTCAAAAACAACTGAGTCCAGTTTATTTTGAAAAATAGATAATAGTTTTGATGGTCTTACTTCTTGTTGAAGCAATTGTAATTCATATTCTTCATTACAAACATTTGACCAAAATTCAATGCTTTGGAAAGTTATTTTATCATGTGAAGATTTCATTGCATCCATAGTGATCTAAAATGAAGTCTGCTTAATAAAGAATTAAAATTAAAATGACACTTACACCAAATAATCCACGATTCACATAAAATCCCATATAATCATGATATAATGTAAGGATTTTCAAGAGATTCTGCAAAGGCAGTACTTGAATCTGCTTGTGTATGTACCTGGTAGATTATTTGTATTAATATTTAAAATATCGAAAAATTGTTTCAAAAACTCGGGCTAAAAATTCAATTAAAATATTTGTTCTTTCAATGAATTAAGCATACTAAATTTTGTTCACCTGCTATTGTAAGAAAATGTCGTAAATTCTTCAAATTGGCTTGTGCTAAAATAAATTTCTGTATATTAATTATCCAATAATAAATCCTAACACCGACATTCAATAACTATTTGTTCCAGAATATTGATGAGCTCTTATATGGCCATTACATCTAATTAATTTTAAAAAAAGATTAAAAGACAATCTAGAAACTTTTAATATGCTCTCTTCTATTTCTTTTATTTTTTCTTCTTTTCTTTTTAAACATTAAAATGAGTAAAAAATACTGCTAAACTGTTGATCATTCAACTATTGTGGACCACATTGTGCACCTTGTGGAGGTTATGGACCACCTTGTG